CTGCATTAACAGAGGGATAGAATCAAGATCACGTGAAGTGTTAATACCACTTTACAATGCCTTGGTAAGGCCACACTTGGAATACTGCATCCAGTTTTGGTCACCGCGATGTAAAAAAGATGCTGAGACTCTAGAAAGAGTACAGAGAAGAGCAACAAAGATGATTAGGGGACTGGAGGCTAAAACATATAAGGAACGGTTGCTGGAATTGGGTATGTCTAGTTTAACGAAGAGAAGGACGAGGGGGGACATAGTAGCAGTGTTCCAATATCTAAGGGTGCCATAAAGAAGAGGGAGTCAAGCTATTTTCCAAAGCGCCTGGAGGAAGGACAAGGAGCAACGGATGGAAACTAATCAAAGAGAGAAGCAACCTAGAACTAAGGAGAAACTTCCTGACAGTGGGAACGATTCACCAGTGGAACAACCTGCCTCCAGAAGTGGTGAATGCTCCAACACTGGAAGTTTTTAAGAAGAGATTGGACAGCCATTTGTCTGAAATGGTATAGGGTTTCCTGCCTGAGCAGGGGGTTGGACTAGATGACCTTCAAGGTCCCTTCCAACTTTACTATTATTATTATTATTATTAAATGAATTTTGCCCCATTTGGTGACCTCTCTTGCCATAGTTGTTAAGCAAATCACTGTAGTTGTTAAATTGTTAAATTGATTGTTAAATGTTAAATGGTTAAATTGATTGATTGTTAAGTGAATCTGGCTTCCCCATTGATTTTGCTTGTCAGAAGGTCACAAAAGATGATTGCATGGACATTGCAACCATCATAAATATGAGCCTGTTGCCAAGTTTTTGAATGTTGATCACATGACCATGGGGATACTGCAATGACCATAAGGGTGAAAAACGGTCACAAGTCATTTTTTTCAGTGTCCTTGTAACTTCGAACGGTCATTAAATGAACTGTTGTAAGTCGAGGACTACCTGTATTGGCTTGATTTGCTTAGTAAATAACTGGGACTTAAAAAAATATTCAAAGTGCTTAACTTTGACTGAACCAAAAGGTGTTTTCTATTTTACTTTGTTTTAATGCCCTATATTTTAAAAAGCCTGAACAACTTCTATGTTTTCAAATTTCTGAGGGATTATTTCTGTTCCTCAGATTCCCAATCATCTGTATATTTGATTCATTTCAGCCATAGTTTTGGCAATAGTTATCTACAAAATAAAATATAATTTGGCTTGCTTACTGATTCCTTAATTATTTTTATATGGTCAAATAATCTGTCTTGGGGTACATGTTTGGAAAGTAGTAGATTTTGGTAGTGTGTACAAACTATCCTCAACTTACAATCACAATTGGGACCAGAACTTCCATTCCTAACTAAGCAAGGTGGTTGTTAAGTGAGTTGTGCCCAATATTACGACTTTATTTGCCACAGTTGTTAAGCAAATCATTGCAGTTGTCAAGTGAATCATGTGGCTGTTAACCAAATCCAGCTGCCTCTATTAACTGTCTTTTTGGGATCCAGAAGCAGAGCCCAAAATTTGAGACCCCGTGATCCTGGGATCCTGCAGCCGTTGTAAATACATGTCAATTGCCAAATGCTCAAATTTTGTTACTATGTGACTGTGGAGTATTGTGAAATTGTAAGAGGGGACACCAGTTGCATGTCCCTTTTTTCAGTGTTCTTGTAATTTCAAATGGTTGCTGAAGGACTGTCTGTACGGCCTAACAAAAGAGGCAGGAAAAAGAACCAAGCACAGTCTAATGCTGCTCTCGTTGTTCTTCCAGGGTCACAGAAGGATGGTTTGCTGCTCAGCATGGAGCGAAGATCATCCAATATGCAACCTCTTCACTTGTGGATTTGATCGCCAGGCTATTGGATGGAACATCAACATCCCTGCTTTGCTTCAGGAAAAATGAGAAGCTCTCCTCATGTTTTCCCGGTTTTATTGCCACAAACTTAGTGCAGACTTTCCTGTAAGCTGCAGTCAGTATAAAAGGCACACTTTGCAAAGGGCGGTGGGTGGAATTGCAAATATTGTTACTGCATTGTGCACAGTTGCATGAAATGTACAGAAAAAAATGTGACCTTTTCAAAGAAGCTAGGCCAATGTTTCTGAATCGTGTCAACATTAAGGTGTGTGAATTTCAACTCTCAGAATTCCCCAGCCAGCATAGCTAGCTGGGGAATTCTGGGAGTTGTAAGTCCACACATCTTAAAGTAGCTAAGATTAAGAAATGATGAGTTAGGTTCTTGTGTATGAACTTTTTTTATCTTGATATCCACTGGTGTCTAGAAGGACACTTAGCTTTCCCATGGAGCTTATATGTTCGCAGATTACTCAGTCTAGTTGAACGTTAGGGCATTAAGTTTGGTTTAAATATGAATTCTATGTACTTCTCATGAAAAATATATAGTTCACCTTTCCCCCATCACATTACACATTTGCCCTGTGATTAAAAGAGAATATAAAGTTTCTCTTTAAGATGAAGAGGGAGAAGTTTACTACAATGGGTAGCTGAGCTTTTCTTGCATCTATATGTAGTGTGATCTGAAGACCCGAATATAGTATTAATTTCCACTCCCAGTATAGCTTAGTTATTGAATTAAAAATAAGGGTCAGAGAAGAAAACGATAAATATCTTTATGTATCAGATATAAAATGTTGGATTGCCATATTGGGAATACTCCAGTACCTTTCAAGACCTATTTAAATTATTACACTCCTGGTCTGAGGAACCACTCTCTGTCAGATTCTCACATAAGGCAAATGACAATATTTTACAATCATGCAAATTTTAATAAGTTCTTATAGCACTTTAGTTTATGGCAGCAGTTATAAACCCCAAATGTCCAGTGACATTTCCTGGAGAATGTGAGATTTGTATCTAAGAAGGATTTTCCTTACTAGGCTTTTGTGAATATTTTAAAGCTGGTGAGTAAATCTTGTTATTTTACTTGTTTTTATTTTTTTAAAAAAATACACCGGTGTTTTAATGTAAATTGACATAATTCTGTTTGAGCCAAGGACAGCACTAAGACCTTGTCCAAACATTTTGCTGTAGAAGGGAATTGCTTCTCTCCCTTCCCTCTCCTTAATGATCATTCTTGAAAAGGAGATTTTAAAAAATATTTTAATGTGATGGTTACTTGCTTGTGGAAACCAGATTACCAAATTTTAAGCTAAAATTGGAACAAGTTTAATAAAACTTTACCATGCTGAAAAAAATCAGCTTAAGAAAATATAGTCCCTGTTCAACACAATTCTCTAGGCCCTCCCTTAAATTGCACACCAGCACATACTATGTGAACTTTATCCTACTTACATTGTGCTGCCAGATTTGCATATTTAATTCATATTTGCAAAAGCATTTGGTAGTCACCATTTGGAAGAAAAGTCTGAAAGTTGTACTTGAAGTTCCTTCACAGATGAACGCAGAAAGCAGTTCTCTTTACTATCCATTATTTTCTCCAGAGTGGCACGCAAATCGCTTAACAAAGACTTTAAAATTAATTTCCATAAATCAGAGGTGTAGAACTATGGCTTAGGGGACTTCATAGAGCTTGCCAATCTCTGCTTTTACTTTTTGAGTAAATGGTAAAAAAAATTGTGCCCATTTGATGGTATTTGAAACATAAAATGGTATCTTAATCCTTGCAGATGTTGAAAACATTATTCCATCTCTTTAAGCTTTGTGACTACCTCCCATACAAGCTACAGGCCCCATCCATTTTTAAAAAGTTGGCTTTGATATGCTATATTAATCTAGTTGTGGCTCTCAATTTCAAGCCCTGCAACAGGGCATCGTGAGTTATTATTACTTTAATTACTCCATTTTTCTTTGGCCAACGTTCTCTTCCAATAGTTCTGAAAAGTATGGATTTCAGAGACAGACCTACCTAGAGAACAGAATAAATAGGATGAGAGTCAAGGACACTATTTATTGAAATCCTAGAAACAAGCAGAGATATAAAATGATAGGATATCTGTGTGGTTGTGACTATCTCAAAAGAGGGTTTAGTTATGAAGTGTATAGAACTTTACGTGGCAGGTAAGAGGCTAATAATTGAGGTTTATGATAATTATTAATGTTAAGCAAATAATGATCTACAAGAGCAAGACTTGTATGAGCTATGAATAATTTGTTGCGCATTTTGTTAGTAGTAATAATAGTACTATTTTACAGTGTTTGCAATGCAATCTCAGCCTTGCCAGATTGAGTGTGTTGCCAGATGGCCTGGAATCCTGCAATGAGAGAAACAATCCTATCATTTCACTCTCTTGACTGTTTTTGGTTTTTGCAGTTATGTTAGGACAAACCACCACAACAAAACATACATATGGGTATATGTTGACAATGGCTTCTTGAACTCATATATACTTTGAGAGCAAGTTCCCTTAGTTACATGGCCTTGTGAAATCCCATTAGGGAAATCTGGTTTCATTGTATTTGTATCTTACTGTACATTACTGAGGATTTTATTCTGCAAGCCCTTGCAGGGGGCGTTGCTCTTCTCTGTTTCAAGCCATTGAGCCAGCGCTGTCCGAAGACATTTCCATGGTTATGCGGCCAGCATGACAGCACAAAGCACTGTAGTATGAGTACATATTATTTTTAATGGAGTTATAACCCTGCCCACTCAGTGATGTCACATCTGCATTCCCCTCAGAAATGCTGTAACATCTTATTGCCTGTCCCAGAAATATTTCTGATTGGTCTGTATCCATAAGGGGGTGTTGATTGATAGCTGTTGACTATTACACTATTGTCGCATCCCTGGAAGTGCTTTTGATTGGTGCAAAAAATCTTGATTGACCGACTGAGCACATGATATCCTAGTCCCATCATCATCACTATCATCACCTAATTGGTAGATAAAATGCAAATAAACTCCTTCCTGTCACATGTGCATCCTTTAATAAGATTATATTCACTTGCGATGTATCTAATTCACTGTGCAGACATTGTGTCCTCTTAAATAATGCATCATTATTAAATGATCATCATCATTGCTAAATTGGTTTACCAATACTGTAGACCCCAGATCACCCCCATAAGCATTGGTAGACTCTTCATCACTTGAGATGTATGTTCTGTCTCAGTCCCTCCCCTCCCAGGAAATTTAAGGACTTTATTTAAATACCATGAGCCCCTAATGTCATTCCCCAAGTCCTCTTTGCAATAAGCTTGCCTGCAAGTGGTTCCCCAGTAAAGCAGAGTCCACAAATTTGGCATAAGGTCAACAAACCAAATACAAAGTCCACAATCAAGGCACAAAGTTCCAAATCCAGGATCCAAAGATACGATATCCAAATCCAAGGTCCGAGTCCAGAATCAATTCACAAAATCCAAAGTCCAAGCACAGGATCAAGAAACAAAGGCACAGATCATGAATTCACAAAGTGAGAGAACATACATGGCAGGGAATCAAATGGAAGTTTGTCTCCAATATTGCTTTGCTCCATGTGCTAGGCTAAGTAGCTGTCAGATGATGCAATTCATTAGGAGAGTAAGTCACGAGTAGACTTACCAACCTCTGTGTGCACCCTGAGATTTGTTGGATGACGCAGTTCCTCCTCATCCTTGCTAACTGGCTGTTGCTGCACCCCTTCTCTGTCCCCTGCTTCTGGCTGGTCATCTGAGCCTCCTGGTTGTAGCTGCATCTTTTCTATCTCCTCTTCAGCCAAGCTCTTATCCAGTTGCTCCATGGGCAGCCCTTCTGAGGTTCCTGGCCTTTTCGTGTTCCTCTTGCAAATTCTGTCCTGGTTAGGAGTTTCCTCTGTCTTCCTGACGTTCCTCTGCATCACACTCTGATATTCCCAAATCCAGATCTTCCTTGTCATCTGAGCCAGCATATAGAGAAGCCATTACAATGTATCTTGTTAATGATAGATGGCTATCATGTTTATATTCCAAATCAGAGATTGTAAATTATAAAATATAACCCATTGCGCTGCTATCACTACCACCCTGTTTTGCCACTTACTCTATAAAAATCATTTACTTATGTGGACTGGTTCCTTGGATAGTTGATAAAGAACAACTATTCACCATTTCACATGCTGTCTGGTAAATATTATTGAGCATTCTTTTGCTTTGTTAGACCCTCTGGTGTCTTCCAAATGGCTAAAAGCTGTAGTAAGGACTCTGCCCTGTAGCTGTTCCAGTGATGTGAAGTCAAATACATCTTCTTGGCATGTTCTCTATCTAAAAAAGGTTAGTCAGCAGTGGTGCAGCAGTCCGTGGTCATCTTCTTCCTAGCGTTATTCCTGCGCTATGGCGGGGTCCACTTGTCAGTTATTGGTCTCCATTTAGCCTGATCTAGGGCATCTTCAGGGATGACACCCATGCATTTTATGTCTTCCTTAATGCGATCCATCCAAAGTTTCTTTGGTCTGCCACAGGGTCGCCAGCTATCAGGGACCAGATGCATAGTTGTCTTCACTACCAAGTCTTCTTTACCACAGCTGAAGTGTCTGTACCACTTAAGTTTTCCTTCCCACAGTTTTGCTACAATTGGCACAACTCTCAGTCGATGTCAGACTTTGTTGTCCATAGTGTAGTCGAATCAGGTTAGTCCAAAACACCGTCGGAACATTAATATTTTTATCACATGTAGGGCCTGCTCATGCTTTGCTGTGTCTGGCCAGCACCCTGATCCATAGAGGGCAACTGGATGCAGTACCATTCTATAAATCTTTGACTTGAGGCAAAGGGGCATCCGATGATTACACAGGGTTCCAGTCATTTGGCATCACTTCCTCCAGCCGATGTTGACCTGCAGAAAGTTATTGCCATCACTGCATATGAGGAAGCCAAGATACTTGAATTGATCTACTTTCTTCAGATCTTCACCACTAGTGCTGATGGTTTCATCAGTTTGGGGGGACACATTCCATATATTCCATTTTCTTGATGTTCAGTTGAAGTCCACATTCGCTGAGCTGTTCATTCCATTGCTGCATTTGCTCTTAGAAGTCTTCACTTTCATTTGCCAAGAAGACATAGAGGAGTGACCATGGATGGGATGATTGGAGGTCAAGCATCACAGTGTCCATGCAAAGGACGAATGCTAGGGGAA